TTTTTAGCTTCGATGCGAAGCTGAGAAGGTATTGGTTTTACTAAGATGTGTTTTTTTTTGTGTCTGTTACCACTTTTTCTCAGCTCTCACCGAACCGATTTCTTTCAATGATACGTCAAAAGATCACAAATCGTATCTAGTCGAAGACATTACCCTCAAAAATTAAAAACTTTTTTTCATTCCCTGAAAATAGTGAAAACTCTTCAAAAAATTACTAATTTTTAAAATCAGTAAATTTTGATATTTTAAAAAAAATTTTTACTTATAACTGTTAAACATATGTGATAAGTTATTTATTTAGTCAGATCAGTTTATATCAGTTATTATAAAAATTCCCTCGTTCCCCGTAAATGGGGGAAACCTCCGAAAAAATTACAAATTTAAAAATGGTTAATTTTCGAAATTTTCGAAATTTTTTTTACTAAAAACTGCCGTAACTTTTTTAAAAATAAACATATCAATATAATTCTTTTTTATATAGATGCATAATATCATTACCTTTCATTTGGTATCTTTTTTTCATAAATTTAACCCTTAACCTGCCCACAAGGAGGGATTTAAAATGACAACTTTTTCAAAAAAAATTAACTTTTTCAACTTAACTTTTGAAAATGTTCCGGAAGGTCTGACACTTTTCTATATATATTAAATTAAAGCTAATGTAGTATACTCTAATTTGAAAAAAAAAAAATTTGACCTCTGGACTTGTCTTCACGGCGAAAATGGCTACCGAATGCTATTTCCCTGTGAAAATTCTCGATTTTATTTTTTATATTATATTTAACTTTATAATGCTATAACTTTTTGAAAAATGTATGGATCAATACAATTTTTTATGAGAAATAATATTTTTTAATAATCCCATTTTCATTCGACATATTTTATCTTAATCAAGATATTAATAAGGAACCAGCAGATCATGTAGCTTTTGGAATAAAACACCCATTTTTTTAAAATTAAACACTATCTAAAGATTTGCATCGAAGCGTTTATTTTTGATAGTGATTTTAATCACTGTCAGATATCATTATACTTGATCCAACTATACCACGGCACCACTGTGCCGCGACCCCCCTGTGCTGGGTTTTTTTTTTTTTTTGTTTTTAAACAATAATACTCAAACATTACTTATAGACTTGGACGAATTTGTTGAGAAAATGGAATTGAGTATTCTTTATGATGAAGTCAATGTTATGATAAAATTAATAGATATTATATTACAAACTTGGATTAGTGATTTACATGATATGTTGGCTTTGATATCAGAACTTGATTGGTAATATTGATTTTTTTTTTTATATGCTTTGTCTACCAACATTTAATGGCTACAATGGCATCTAAGAAAAGAAGGTATTTTAACCATAAATACTTCAATATTCTCGAACTGTTTCATTAATAAATCTACATTGCCTTGCGTTTTAAATACTTTAATTATAAGTGATAAGGCAAAATTATAATATTTTCTCTACATTTTTTAATCACTACAACTTAAAAAAAAAAAACTCAAATTTTTATTAGTAATTATTTATACTTTAAATATTCATTTTATAAAGATCTAGTTTTAAACCTAGGAACGTGAAAATAATGAAGCCCACTAGAGTGATCGCTATTTAGTTATAAAGGTTTCTTTTCAATAAAATTAAAAAAGTGCCTCCCAGAAATATTTTTCAATGAGTCTAAAAATAATATTTAAAAAATTTGATCATTATATAACCTGCAATCGAATCTCAAAGTTTATAGAAATTGTAAAATTTTATTGTTTTTTAGATATTTCCGCCCTAATTTTGATTTTCAAAGAAGTCACCAGGCTTTTTTTTTGCAAAATTTTTAATTTAATATCAAAAGTGCTCTTATACTCTTAAATTTTTTGTGTAATCGACAGTTTTTTGTAAAAAATAAAAAAACATTTAAAATTAAAATATGTATATTTATATGAAAAATTATAATTCATAAAAAATTATGAACATATACTTTTGCGTTAAATTATTCCTTTCCATTAAAATTAAGGAAAATGACAAGGAAATCAAATTTTTTCGACATTATATTTCAAGAGTATTAAAAATAATAATTAATTGTATAAATAATAATAAATTATTTTTATTTTGAACGCCCTTGCTTGGCATTAAGTGGCGTAATAATATAAATTTCGCTATGTGAATAAAACATAAAAACCCATTTCCAATTTTGTTGAAATGTAAAAAATAAGATTATTATTTTTTCATTATCTATACATTTATATGCATAAATAAGGAAAAAAACTACACATACACGTTTACATATATATACTTTTTTCTCTTTCATTTATATTATACAAAATTGAAGATACATTTGAATCAATAACTACAATCATTGATACAAATGACTCTCATATAATAATAAGGAAATATTGAATAAATAATATTAAATCAATATTATTTATTAAAATTTAATATATTTGCTTACGAATAGGGCTAGAAATATTATACATTTCTAAATTTGGATTAAAACACTTTGTAGGGCCCCAAGTATGTGCAAATATTCAATTGGACTAAATAGTAGCATAGAAATAATTTACGTTTTAAGGTGGATTAACCTCCTAAAAAACCTAAAACTATAACCTTGTTAATAACACGTTACTAAGTTTTCAAGTCAGTCAATAAAAATTTGTACTAGCTTTTGATATGTTCAGAATAACTTAATTTACATTTTAAAATAACAAAATTTATAAATATACATAATTCCTTTGTCTTACTTATGCCAAAAAATGAAACAAAATTACAAACAAAAAGCAATATTCTGAAAAATCAGAAAGGCTTCTTATTTAAAACGTTTACATTTTATGTTTACAATGCCATATTACAACCGTATTTCGCTATTTACGCCACTAGCAGTATTCTTAGTGGTTCACAAAATATTTGCTTAAGTGTCATCTTAAAATAATTTTGTTAAGTCTTCTAGGTTTTGCATCGGCAGCTCGTGAATTAAAATTAACAAAACCAATTATTTTACCAAAAGATGAATGTTTTATTAATATTATTAAAGGAAGGCACTTTTTACAAGAAATATATGTAAATGAAATTATACCAAACAGTTACTTTTCATCCCAATCTAGTGCTCCAATAAAAATTCTTAATGGATTCAACGCCAGTGGTAAAAGTGTTTACTTAAAACAGGTTCGTAATCCTGTTATTTAAAACATTTTATTTATTTGTACTACCAAAAATAAATTACCAGAAAATAAACGTATCGTCATTTATGCTGCAACAGTAGTAATTAGTCTCTAAGTTTTCAGGAATATCAAAAAATAGAATATAATTATAACCGTTTTAATTAGTGATAGGCATTTTCGAATAATTTAAACTATCATATCTATTCGAACTGTTTTTAATCAATCGAATAGTTTATTTTAATCATAAACTATCAAATAATTAAAAAACTATTCATATATATTGGATAGCTATCAAATAATTATACAAACTATTGAATAGTGGACAACTATCGAATATTTTCCATCACTAGTTTAAATGTATAGATTATCTTATTTTCATGATTATCAATAGACATATCATTCTTACAAAAAAATATATAGGAAAGTTTTCCAAATCACTTTTTATCATTATTGATAACATTTCATTTTGTCAAATCTTGAGATACATACTTTTGTAGTATAAGTTACGATGTGTTTCTAAATATACAGGAAGTGGTTAATTTATTATTGATCAATAGGTTTTCTCTAAAATAAAAATAAAATCTACATTTTTTGCTTGTTAAGTAATATTTATTTCTCCTTTTACAAATGATTAAATGTTTTTAGGTATTATCTCATAAGGGTATCGCTTTATTTTTATTTTTGTCTGTGGTAATTTACATATATAACTTTTAAATATTAGAACAAGGTCTATTAAGAAAATGATTTGTGATAACAAATTTTAAAGTAACAAATCTGTAAATATTACTATTTTTATATCTGAATAGGAAGTATTATGTGAAAAAACCCCAGCAAAGTGGGGTCACGGCACATTGATGACGTGGCATAGTTGGGTCAAGTATAATGATATCTGACAGTGATTAAAATCACTATCATAAAAAACGCTTCGATGCAAAATCTGTAGTGATTAATTTTAAAAAAATTGGTGGATTATTTAAAAAGCTCCTATATCCTTATTTATATCCTGATTACAAGTTTTATGATTTATAAGTGATATATATGAATAAATGTATAAAAGAAAATAGTGTTATTTTTAAAAAAAGTATGTCGAATGAAAGAGGGATATAAATATTATTTCTCATAAAAAAATTGTATTGATCCATACACTTTTCAATAAATTATTGCATTCGGTAGCCATTTTCACCGTGATGACAAAATAAAGTCCGAAATTTTTCTTTTTCCATTTTAAAGTATATTACATAAGCTTTAATGTACATATAAAAGTGTCAGTAATCCCGGACCAAATTCAAAACTTAAGTTCTTTTTTCTACATGCATTTTTTAGATTTGAACATTTTTTATATTTATGTATATAGGGAATTGGTCCGATTTAAAAAAAAAAAGTATATCAAATGAAAGAGGTATATAAATATTATTTCTTATAAAACAATTATATTGATTCATATATTTTTCAAAAATTAAAAATATAAAATCGAGAATTTTAACACAAAAATAGCATACGTTAACCATTTATGGGAAATGGCCGAAATTTTTTCAATTTTTGAGGGTAATGTCTTCGGCTAGATACGATTTGTGATCTTTTGACGTATCGTTGAAAGAAATCGGTTCGGTGAAAGCTGAGAAAAAGTGGTACAGACACACAAAAAAAAATATAGTTTAAAAAAACTAAAAAAACACGCTTTTAAAGCACATTGAACTAAAAAGTTAAAAATAATTTTTAAAATAATCATGAATAAAAAATACTAGTATTATTATGATAAAAGCGTCGGGCGCTCAATATACGAAAAATATGGCACAAAGCACCTACGCTTTTATCACAATAATACTAGTATCTTTTGTACATAATTATTTTAAAATTATTTTTAACTTTTTAGTTCAATGTGCTTTAAAAGCGTGTTTTTTTTAGTTTTTTTTAACTATATTTATTTTTACTTTTTAGTTTCATGTTATGATAGTAGTTACTATCAATATCATGGTTGTAACGGGTAACGGGAATACAGGGTTCGATTCCGGGGGGGAGTCTGAGAAAAGGCTACCAGATTCAAGGAAGCAGCAGGCGCGTAAATTATTCACTCCCGGAACGTGGAGGTAGTAACAAAAAATGACGATACGGAAATCATACCTCGTAATCTGAATGAATACTTTATAACTCTTAATTAGAATAAATCGTGTTAATATATATATTTTAATAATAATTAGAATATATATATACATGTAAAGCGATTTAAGTACGTAAACGTATCATGCATTAGGTATAGCCGTTTTTTGTGGGCGGGCGGATCGGACTAATGTTAAACCTGAGGTATAAACGGCGGTAGGAATATATACGTAAGCCGTATGCACGCGGATGATAATGGTCAGTCAAAATAAAAATTTGTTTATATATACAGGTTTACAGGTGTTTATATATATTGTTTGTAACAATGAGAACAATAGAAACCCGTTTCCTGACTTACTGAACACCCTGTATATATAATATTGATGACAAGCACGCGTGTACGGGTACAATAACTAATAAATATAGTTTAAAAAAACCCAGCACAGTGGGGTCGCGGCATAATGGGGATGTTGCATAGTTGGGTCCAGTATAGATTTAATCTGACAGTGATTAAAATCACTATCATAAGAAACGCTTCGATGCAAATCAGTAGATAGTGTTTAATTCTAAGAAATTGGTGGATAATTACAAAAGCTACATTATCTGCTAGTTTCTTATTAATACCCTGATTAAGATAAAGTATGTCGAATGAAAAAGGGATTATTAAAAAATATTATTTCTCATAAAAAAATTGTGTTGATTCGTACACTTTTCAATGAGTTATAGCATTATAAAGTTAAAAATGTAACCAACCCAACCCAACATCAACTCCTATTTCCTTAATTATATCCAGATTAGTAATTATTTTAATTATATATTATATAATTTTTATAATTAATTATTTTCAAATTATTATTGATTTTTAATATGTTAAAAGTAATCATTTTGAACCTACTTCTTTTTGTTCTTTAAAGTGAAAGTTTTAATAAAAAAAAAATGAATTTATTACCATAACTTTTAACTCAACTTGCAAGTTTGAAATAGATATTATTAAATAGAAAAAAATGAAATTGATAGAGTATTTCAAAAACAACAAGAACACTTATTTCCTTAATTTTACCCCGATTTATAATTATAATATATGAATACATAATAATTACAGTAATTAAATTGAGTATGAAAGTGGTATTCAATAATATAATATTGTAATTTTTACGGAGATATTATAAAAATAAAAAGGAGTTGTATATTCATATACTTTTAATGCGTATACAAATTTAAAGGAATTGATGCAATACTTTTTAATAAAAAAATTTTGTTACTTATGAATAAATACACTAAACAAAAGGAACTTTCATCAGAAAAAAAATATACTTTTCTAAATAAACTTTTCGTGATGTTTTCAAATGTGCAATTAAACTTTTTCTATTACTTCTAAGTTTTAATATTATTACTTATTATTAAAAAATAAGTATTTACATATAAAAAAAAATAATTAAGAACAAAAAAAATTGTATTAAATTAATACTGATTTTGATTTTTAATATGTTAAAGGTAATCATTTTGAACCTATTTTTTATTGTCTTTTAAAGTGAAAGTTTTAATGAAAAATACCTTCTCAGCTTCGCATCGAAGCTAAAAAATGAATTTGTTACCATAACTTATAGTTCAACTTAAGTTTGAAATTGACATTATTAAATTGAAAAAAATGTGAAATTTTTAAGATTAATATGCAATCTGGAAATTTTATAATTACTATACAGTACATTTGTCAGAAAAATTCGATTTTTTTACATTTTTATCGTAATAGATAACTGAAATAGAAAGAATAGTAATCATATCCTAATAACTTTTGGTGTTTAAAAAAATTCTGCAATTGAAATATTCAGAACTTAATTAATTTTAATAATTTACTTTAATTAAATGAACCAATCAAACCAAAGTAGTTAAAAAGATTTACTCAATTGAGCATATTATCAAAAATATAATTATAAT